AGTACGTGGCGGCTTTTTAGTCTTGGGAACCGGTGAATGTTTTCGTTTAGACGAGATAGGAACGTGATGCTAAATTTATATAAATTAAAAACACAGTCAAGTAAAGCAGAAAATGACGTGCTTCTTCGTCATTCTGGATAAATAATCGAGCCAAAATAATATGAGCACTCCACCTTATTCGGAACTTTCTGCGGAGCAGGTTTCTCTGCAGTGTGCGCTGAAGTACATGGAGTCGGAGACCAGTCTATTGGCTTCTTTGTCTTCTTTTCTGAGAAAAAAAGTAGTGTTATGTTCAACAAACATGTAGAGATTAATGAGCATGGTTCAGATTTACCTCTTCTCGAATGGCGAATTTTCGGTGTATCACAACGAGAGGGAGTTTGTTGTTTCTTTGATGCCCCGAGAATGGATTTCTCGGAAATCCACTCGTCATAGCGTTTGTTCCATCCTTGATAGTGAACAAAATACTCTTTTGATGCAAAATTCGCGCGAACAATCTGTAATAGCAAATACTCAGGGAAGCAGTAGCCGATGAAAACGAATCCTTTAAAGACATGTTAGCCGCATGTTACGTAGAACAGACATGAGTATTATATATTGTAATCAAAACGAAAAAAATTGAACAAGAATTTTTCATTTTTCGCTTTTCAACTCAACTGCTGAACAATACGAAATCGGTCACTGCTGCGAAAAAAAGAACATTTCGCATCTTCCAAAGGCATCCATTACTACAAGAGCAGTTAAATAGAGCTCGGAGGGTAACAATTGGAAAAAAATATTACCGACCTACTAAAAACTCGAGAGCATGGGCAAGAACAGCGGTAACTGAGACTACAAACGACTTGGTAATTTTTACCCAGTTTTCTAAATCCGTGGTCTTCAACAAGTGGATATTTAATTTATAAACCGGTTTTAATGATCATATACCAGCTAGTACCGGTTTTTCCAGAACTGTTTGAACTGAAGAAGTGAAGCAGCTTATATCACGACAAAAACTGCTTCTAGATCTTGAGAAACAAGTTTCAGAAACACGAAAAGTGGTTCTTTTCGTTTGCGGTGTACAACTTCTACGTGCTTTCTTAAAACCAAATTCTTCAATTCGGAAAACAAGTACGAGAATTTTTCGTATGATTGTTTTTCTAATGTTTGAAAGAGTTTGCTCAAAGAATAAATGTACCTTGGCTTCGTATTCGACCGGTTTCGATCCCCACATACATCGCACAACGTCCCCAACATTGTATTCCATTGAAAAGAGCTAGTCTATCCTTTGAGGTTGGTGTTCTGAAATGAAATAAAAAATGCAACCGAGCAATTCGTTGTTACAAACGACTCAACGATAAGGTGTGAGATAGCGAACGGATATTGTCGGGTGGTCTGCGGAATACGGCGACGGCAAAAATCAATAGAAAGCGGGGTTGCTGAGCGTCTGCGAGTTGTTCAACAGCATAATAGGCATATTGGTGAGGAACACGATCAGGAAATAAGGGGTACGCTATAAGAATGGAGAAGAACTTGCCACTACTGCAAAAACGTGGACCCCGATGGAGGACTGACCGGACCTGGGCAGGATACGCGACGAATTACGGTGGCGGAACACCGGTGCGGTGTTACGCCCCCTTGGAACACGAACAGACCACGGAAAACATGCGTTTTAGACTGACCCCGTAATGTTTCCATTCCCATTTGCGTATTCCTGCCCGGTTTTGACTTGTCACACCTAACTTGCCAGTACGTGAGCAAGGATAAATGCAAAGGGCCGTACCGATGGACTAAATGGGGACTAATGTGGGGCACAACATAACTTGAACAGTTTATACTTGCTGTTCCTGCACGATATTGTTTGTTTGAAACATTTCAGGACACAATTTTCATAGTGAAAGAATATCCTGAGGAACAACACGTGATACAAATTAACGCCATGGTTACCCAGTGTGCACGTATCGATTGAAAACTCACCCACTGAATACCATAACTAAGCTTTTACTACAACATAATCTTATGCAAAACACAGTCCGCAACATGTTGGAGGTAGGTTCAGAGTATGCATTCCTAGGTCCAAAGAAAAGACAGAGTTCCCAAGGAAAGGAGGAACGCCATGGAAAGTTCTCGAGCCCTGCACACATTGATCCTACCACGGCGAATTTTTGCCAGATTTTTGTCTAGTGGTGCAAAATTCTAAATGTAACAATAGTGGTAAGCATTTGAGTCAAGATGACTCATGAAGACACCTACCCGATAAGAGCGGATGGTCAATAGCCCACGACAAAGGCAGAAGAGCCGCCATTCCATCATACTGCGTATCATTTCACGAAACGATCACCGTTTTATTGTGATCTCGAACAGAAAATTTTCAATATCCTGTTGATGAGGGNATTCTAAATGTAACAATAGTGGTAAGCATTTGAGTCAAGAAGACTCAGGGAGACACCTACCCGATAAGAGCGGATGGTTAATAGCCCACGACAGAGGCAGAAGAGCCGCCATTCCATCATGCTGCGTATCATTTCACGAAACGATCACCGTTTTATTGTGATCTCGAACAGAAAATTTTCAATATCCTGTTGATGAGGGAATCGCTACAGCGTTCTACTTTTCGATAGCACCTGTTTGTACAACAACTTGCATTCAATGTATCTCATTATTAAGATTTATTCACACCATAAATAATGAAATATAAAAATATCACAGACAATTTTGACTGAGATAGATAATACTTCGAGTTCAGTGAAGTTTGACGATGAAAGCATTGAAGATTAATTGCAACCACATTGAATATGGCAAACGTAAAATGAACACCCAATAAAGTTATATTCCGTGATGGCAAAGGATATTAAGCCCTGGGATTAGCAGCCATCAAGGCAACATCCGAAGCAACCATTTCCTTGGCAAGCTCCTGCAAAAATCATTCATTCGATAGAAAGGGTAAAAATACATAGTGCGCTGAAATCATGTTATCGTTACCTCCACTGAAATTTTAGCCTCCCAACCGAGTACTTTCTTTGCTTTGCTGGCGTCACCAAGCAAGGTTTCTACTTCTGTAGGCCGATAGTACTAAAATCTTAGAGTACAGTTGGTGATGATAGCAACAATGGATCAAATTCCTCTAACGAACGACAACATAATTTACCTTAGGATTTACTTTGACTCGCACAATACCGGTCCCTTTTTCTATACCTACTTCATCGACACCTTGTCCTTCCCACCTGGAAAAATCACATTTTCAAAATAAGTTCACTATTACTAAAATAATATCGGGACTATTGCACATCAA